GAATAGAATAGAATAGAATAGAATAGAATAGAATAGAATAGAATAGAATAGAATAGAATAGAATAGAATTCTTTATTTATTTAAAACAAGTTTTATTAAAAGTTTCAACAACAAACAAATCATTACATATTAAATCTTTCCGTCTTTCTACAATAATTTCCCCAATATTCTCATAAAACACAAACAAACACAAACAAACATAAAAAAATCTTTTAGTAAAGTACCTTGGCCCCAGTTACCTCTCTTTGCATGGGCTAAAATAATAGCGCATATCACTCTTCACAATTCTATCTTATTTAATCCATCTTAATTAAATCATTAAATTTGTATCTTTTGCCCATTCATTATCCCTCTATCTCTTCTTATAATAAAAAGAATTTCTCCTGAAATCACTAATCAGAGTATGATGCCTTTCTATCCTCCCCCTAAGTTAGTAAAATTAAAATTCAACATAACAAATACCCAATTTGGTTCTGCTTGGTACATTCTATCCACCAAAAATGTTTAAATACATTGTATCCTCCTTTTCTTCGATATTTTATTACATTTCAAAAATCAATCATTATTAAATCAATCATTATTAAAAACTTCAACATTTCAATTTTAAACTTCAACATTTTAATTTCTTATTAAATCTTAAACCATTCTAATTTACTATTTCAAATATAAATGTTACAATACCATCTTCTGTACCTTAGCAGAATCTTTCTTACAGAAATTTATATTTCATCCTTTGTCTCTAAAAAAAATCCCTCTTCTCCCATCCAATTTTAAAGCTTTGAGGCTTTTCTCCGCCTTTCCCCTTTCTTTCTTCCCCCACCAAATCTTCCTACCCCCCCTTCTTCTTCTAACCTCTGCCTTGCTGGGATCCCTTCTCTGTTGTGTTCCCTTTTTCTCTTGTTTGTTATCATTATATTTATTTTGCATCATATTTTTCTCTTTCTCAAATATTTTTTTAAATCTTAAGTCCTTCATTTTCCTTGCTCTCTTCCTTCCTTCTTCCTTAGATAAGTTTTGGGATTCAGTGAAGATGGCGTCTTCGTCTCTTCCTTGTTGTTCTTCTTCCGTTTCCATCTGTTCCATTGTCTGTTGATAATTGACCAGCGCCATTTCTAGAAATAGAAAAGCTTTTTCCATGCCATCTTTGCAGGCTGCTTTTGTTTGCTCATATTCATCCCTCAGGTCTTCAAAAAGGAAAGCCATTGTAAATAAATCTTTTCTTTTCTTTATTCCTCTTCCTTCTTACACCAACCAAATATTCCGAGAGAAAGGCAAAACAATCCCAAAATCCACAATTCTCAATAAATCCAAGCAAGCCAAAGTTCCCCCTTCCTCTTCCAGGGGTGGTATCAAACAAATAAAAAAAAAGAGTCCAAATCTATATTTTAAAGCCTTATTAAGATTGTATTTCTGTCCTCAAATCTTCAAGGCATCTCCTCCAACAATATCCAAATTTATATATTTTCTTTATCCTCTCCCT